CTCCCAGAGATTCTCCAAATGCTTTCACCCAGGGAGCGAAGAGGCACAAAACAACACACACACACACACACACACACACACACACACACACACTGGGCTGTTTGCTATTCACTGCGGTTTTAAGGCTCTCCACACTGGTCGCTGGAAAGAAAGCTTTGCTTACTTTGGGGGGGGGCGGGGGAAAGAGCTTTATTTCCCTTTTCCTGCAGACGTTCCTGGAAAAGCCTCCAGATCCGACGCTTTTAGTGGAGAAAGGACGGCGGACTGTGTACTCAGGGAGACTACAAAGACCTGCTCTGTGGCTGTCCCTAGTGGCACAGATGTCGCTCTAGGTTCCGCACTGGAAAGCGATTCTCTATTCCTTCTCCTTCCTCGCTTTCCCTTTTCCCCCCTATTTTTTCCCCCTCTAAAAACAAAACCACCACAACAACAAAACTTTTGCGCTACTTTGATTCCTTTGTCTTTGGGAACAGCGAAGCCCAGTGAGCCGGACCAGGGCTCAGTGGTGGTAGTGGGATAGGGTAGGGGACCGGGAGGGACCAGAGCCCCCCACGATTCCCTGGCCCTTCACCTGCGCGCCATGGCGCGCAAACCCTCGAATGCGCCCAGGAAGCGGGAGCCCGAGAGGGGCGTGCAGGAGCCGGAGAGGGCGCGGTGGTGAAGAGCCCCGGCCTCAGGCCCAGGAGCTCCCGGAGGCCGGTGAGAGCGGCAGCGGCCAGCAGACGGCGATCGCGGCCCGCTCGTTGGTTGCTGGGTCAGGGCAGACCCACGCGGGGCCACGGAGGAGGCTCCGCCACCCCGGGAGCTCACCCGGCGCCTCCCGGGGCTCCGGGCAGTGGGGGGTGGGGCGTGGAACCAGCCTCCACCTGGCCGTCTCGCCCCGTGCGCTGTTCCTCTCCAGCCGCATCCAGCCCGACTCTGCGATCCCCCCCACCCCCACGCGCGCTTCCCGGGTCTCTTCTCGGTCTGCGCCTCCTGTTGGAGGCCCTCCGGTTCGCGGAGATGAACTCGAAAGGCTCTTCTAATGAAACTCTTCCTTTTCTTTTTCTTTCTCCCATGCTGCCTTTTTCTCTTCCCCACTCAGATCGCTCTTTTCTCTCCAAAAGTCCCTCCTGCCTAGGGTTTGGCGGCTTCCTCGCGATTTGCCTCCCTGGAACTTTGGTCTCAGCCCTTCCGGGCCACACCAGAGTCTGGAAGACTACACTGGGCAGTCACAGAGGCGCCAACACGAGGCCTGAGTCCTCCCCCGGAGCTAGATGTGTAAGGGCAGCGGACACAGGTGGACCTCTCTCGGGAGGGTGTCGCCAGGACAGGCAAGGAGAAGGAAGACAGGAAGAGCTTTTCCGTTTTCTTCGCTGTGATCTTTGTCTCCTCGGAACTCCTAACCTGTCCCTCTCTCTGCTGCTTGCTGGGAGCTTGAGTCTGAGCTCGCTTTCATTAAAGGTTGCTAGGGGCAGGGCGAGGATTCTGTCCAGTGATCTCTCTACTTCTACTTCCCAGATTCCTCCTGAACACAACATGGAGGTGGGCAAAGCAAAAATCTAAAAGTTTGCGTTACTCTATAGAGGCAGTTTAAGCTAATGGTGTTAGATTTAAAGTCTAGAATTCAACCTATTTGAAAGTCAAGGGCTCGTGTATATCCCCTAAATACATCACATACATATGTATGCATGTGTATTTTGTGTATACACATGCATGTAAACATGTATTGTATATATGGGTGTGCCTATGCACATATGTACATACATATGTATATATTCATATGCACATTTTCTTTTCATACACGTGTAAGTATACCTATACATATACCATCTATGTATACAAATGTATATATGTATGAATACATGCTATGTATATACACTTGTGTGCATATATCCTGTGGGTACACATATATGTATATGTATGAAAATATAGTGTGTATGCACATACATATACATATACATCTGTGTATGTAATTTCTTCTAATGATGGCTTGGATTTGAATTTTCTTTAAGGATCATTCCCATAAGTGAAATTAAAAAAAAAAACAGCATCTTTACTTATCTCCATCCTAAATGGATCTTCCCTTTGGCATTTTGAATATAGAGGCACAAGGAAGTTTCTGAATTGCCAAGAGAGCAAATTTGGTCGATCAACAGTGAAGTAATCCTTCGATAGTGGTCTGGGTTCTGGTGCTTCTGGTAAATAGTGTAATTTGTCTTCAAATCCTCCAGCGCCTGGTCTCTGAGAAAGTTCTGGGTTTGAAGGAGGTTCCTGCCAAAGGGGGGGAGGGGAAGGGGGATGGGGAGAGAAACAGAATAGGGAGAAGACGTGTTTTTCAAACTGTTTTTGGACTGTTTTCTCTATTTTTAAAGAGTTAACTGGGGAGAGGGGTCAGGAGGAGCAAGAGATTGAGGCTCCCAAAAGCCATTACCAGCGGGAGTTGATATGACGCTCTTCAATCTTTGTGCCATGACGCAAGGCACTGAGAGGTCTGGCACGCAGTGCCCTGCCACCGCCTAATTGGCATAGGCAGCAGCTGCCAATCATCTATCACTTGGCAACAAGTTACACCTGCAGCTCCAGTTAATACTTGTGCACATGGGCACCCATAGTGTGTGCCCGCCTGCTTGGGCCCAGGGAACATCTCCTCACTAAAAATGACTTATGGAGAGCGCCCCAAATGCTGAGCATTAGTGCGAGCTCATAAAAGGCTAACCCATTTACTTCCCATTTAGGTGCTCTGGAAAACAAGGGTAATGTCCTATTTGGAAACAATTTTTAGGACTATGTAGAAAGAAACTAGACCATTTCAAAGTCAGCTATCCAAGTTCCCCAAAACATAAAGCATTCCTGCAATGCACACTGGAGTGCAGGGTGGTTATACAATAAATTGCCCCATTGATATGGAAAATAATGTGCCAAGCCTGATTCATACAAAGTATTTTCAGGGGGTCTTAGGCTATTTGGTTTAAAATCTAAATTGAAAAGCGGAGGAAAGAAATCTTTCAATGGCTAAGTGGATAATATAGTTTATAATTTGTAAACCATTTCCTTTATTTCAGTCTTGCTGACTTCCCATAACACACTGGATCTCACTGCCTCTTAAATTATCAAAGGAAAAAACGGATCTATAGTATTCTTAAACAATATTCTTGTTCTTTTTCTTGTTCATTCACAATGTAACTGATATTTGGAGGTAGTACATGAAACAAATAAAAAGATTTAACAAACTCGATTGGTGAGATAAGAAGCTGGTTGAAAACCAAGTTTATAACCTAGATATTTAGTGAAAGATAAATATGAAATGACGTTTCCTTTCTAATATAATTATATATTTTTCAATGAGTTCACTATTAAATGCTGAATAACCTGAAATGAAATCAGTTTAATCTGCAGAGACCAATTTACTGTTGCATTGCATACTATAGCAACCTTGCAATAATAATAAAAAGCTACAGTAATAATCATAGTAATTGACAGGAAAGAAGGCATTATCCCTGAACTGTGGACAAGCAATAGGGTCAGGAAATTCACAACCTCAGATTTTTTTTTTTCTTTAATTGGGGACAGAGAGTTAGGGGGGGGGGGCGCGAGTGGAGGTGTCATGTATTCACTGCCCAACATACTTAAACATTTTATTACTACCCTAATGATCATTATCGTATGTGTGCTTACTTCTATTACAAGAAGGTCAATCTCCAGCTCTGGTTAGGCTCCACTTCACCCACCAGCAATCTCCCAAGCACCCCCCAGTCTGGTGCTCAGGGAGACGCCCCAGTTACTCCCCGAGGGTGCAGGAGGGGTGCGTGGTCTCTCAACGGATATGGAAAAGGTACCGCGCGTGCAGTGGTGTTAGGAAAGATACTGTGGATGTTTCCGCCACTCCAGGAACCAATCCTTTCATTTGCATAAATGCAAGAAAAACATTCTCTGCCTCTTGGTCCCCAAACTCCACATTTCCGACTCGCTTTTCTGGAGGCCTCGCTCTGTGCACGCAGTTTTGGAAGTTCTTAACCAAACAGCTTGTGGAAAGATGCTCTCCAGAAGAGCTTGGGCTACCTCATTCTTGTGCGGTTTTAAACTTTTTCAACTGTTGTTAAGTAACTAGATTGCAGATAGTTCTTGTTTTCGACCTTGACAGAAATTCCATTTTAGGAGAAGAGTATGTGACTGTAACAGCCAGATTTATTAAAAGACATCCTTAATAAAAATAAAAAATAAAAAAAAAGAATAAAAAAAAGTTCAGGGCTAATGCTAAAACAAGCTATGGAGCCAAGCCCGGCAGGCACAAATGCTCCCCCGTTGCGGGAATTATTGGGGCCTGGACTGGGAAGGCCTTGCTTAGGAGACGGGGCACTGGGGAACTGCAGAGCACGCTGCAGTGGAGCTCAGAGCCCTGGGAGAGCGAAGGGAACTGAGTTGCCCAAGCCTCGCAGATCTCGAGGTGGGGGCTTTAGAATGGCGTTCCTCGGACAGTATTTCCTGCTCCTGAGGTCGCGCCCTTCCTCCCCACCCCAGGGGCGGAGACGAGGGCGAGGTTCCTGCCCCAGTCCCCAACTTTCCCCCTTCCCAGCTGGCGCAGAGCTGGCCTGCGGTGGGCAGAGGAGGAGCTGGGGGTCAAGGATGCGCCCAGTTAAACGTGGCTAGGGGCTGTATTCTGCATTCCTCACCTCCTTCCCTCTCCCCCCGCTCCCTCCCCCCCCCCCCGAATTCTCTCCGTCTACTTTTAAACCCAGTCGTTCATCACGCGGAGCGCGCGGGCTGGGAGAGGCAAGGGGGAGCTCGGAGTTCGCCACCGCCGCCGCCGCGCGCAATCAGGAAGCAGCTCGGCGGTGACCCCCTCCCGGGCCTCCTCCCCCCCCTCCCTCCTTCCTGCCCCTGCTCCCCCTTCCTTCTTCCCCTCCTCCCCGCTCCGCCGCCCGCGCCCAGTGCATCTACTCCCTCCCCACGTCACTCGCCAGCGCGCCATGCAAATCACCGCCGCCGCCAGCTCCCATTGGCCGCGGCGCGCTCATTTAATGGCAGCCCGGGCCGGGCGTATGGCTGCTGGGCCCCGCGCGCCGCCGGCCCCGTGTGCGCCTCCGCTCCCAGCGCACGGCCCCGGGCAGGCAGCGGGCAGCCCGGGCTCGGCGGCGGCCCCGGCTGCTTCCTGGACTTCTCTCCGCGCCTGCGCCCCCTTGTCTGCCCCCGGCCCCCCTCCCCAGCGGCACCGTGACCCCCCCCCCCAGCACCGCTCCCCCTCCGCTCCCCCCTCGGCGCCTCGCTCCCCCCTAGGCACCTGGGACCCGCACATGCCCGGCGCACGCGGCGCGCCGCCCTGCTAGAAGTTGCATCCCCGGAGTTGGAGGCCGCCGAGGACCGAGTGTGCAGCACGAAAGGAGACGGAGACGGCGCCGGGAGACCGCGGCCGCCGCGGAGGAGACGGAGAGTCCGGATCGGGGAGCCCGCGCATCATTCTCGTTCCCCAAAAGTGGAGCTGCAACTTGGCCACGATTTGCACCTGTTTGCGCTGCTCTGCCGAGAGCGACCCTGCTGCTGCGGCGGCGGCGCCTAGGACAGCGACCTCTGGTCATCACCCTCTTTGGCAAGTGGTTTGTGCGCGAGGAGAAACTTTCCACCTGTGAGCCGGACCGGCGCTGATCAGTGCGTGTGTTGTTTTGTTTTGTTTTTTGCCTCTTTTTTGTTGTGTTTGCCTCCACCTCCCCGCTTCTTCTCTCCGCTAAGACCTCTCTCTCCCCACACACCCGCCCCCCAAGTATTGCTCTGGTTGAGACCCTCTCCATCTCCCAGCCCTCCCGGCCGGCCGTCTATGCTCCAGGACCTCTCCGCGTGCTGCCGGTGAACCCGCGAGCCGCCCCCATGTACAGCATGATGATGGAGACCGACCTGCACTCGCCTGGCGGCGCCCAGGCCCCCACGAACCTGTCAGGCCCGGCCGGCGTGGGCGGCGGGGGAGGCGGCGGCGGCGGCGGCGGGGGCGCCAAGGCCAACCAGGACCGGGTCAAGCGGCCCATGAACGCCTTCATGGTGTGGTCCCGGGGGCAGCGGCGCAAGATGGCCCAGGAGAACCCCAAGATGCACAACTCGGAGATCAGCAAGCGCCTGGGCGCCGAGTGGAAGGTCATGTCCGAGGCCGAGAAGAGGCCGTTCATTGACGAGGCCAAGCGGCTGCGCGCGCTGCACATGAAGGAGCACCCGGATTACAAGTACCGGCCGCGCCGCAAGACCAAGACGCTGCTCAAGAAGGACAAGTACTCGCTGGCCGGCGGGCTGCTGGCGGCCGGCGCGGGCGGCGGGGGCGCCGTGGCCATGGGCGTGGGCGTGGGTGCCGCGGCGGCCGTGGGCCAGCGGCTCGAGAGCCCCGGCGGCGGCGCGGCGGGAGGCGGCTATGCTCACGTCAACGGCTGGGCCAACGGCGCCTACCCGGGCTCGGTGGCGGCGGCGGCGGCGGCCGCGGCCATGATGCAGGAGGCGCAGCTGGCCTACGGGCAGCACCCGGGCGCCGGCGGCGCGCACCCGCACGCGCACCCGGCGCACCCGCACCCGCACCACCCGCACGCGCACCCGCACAACCCGCAGCCGATGCACCGCTACGACATGGGCGCGCTGCAGTACAGCCCCATCTCCAACTCGCAGGGCTACATGAGCGCCTCGCCCTCGGGCTACGGCGGCCTCCCCTACGGCGCCGCGGCCGCCGCCGCCGCCGCCGCCGCGGGGGGCGCGCACCAGAACTCGGCCGTGGCGGCGGCGGCGGCGGCGGCGGCCGCGTCGTCGGGCGCCCTGGGCGCGCTCGGCTCCCTGGTCAAGTCGGAGCCCAGCGGCAGCCCGCCGGCCCCGGCGCACTCGCGAGCGCCGTGCCCCGGGGACCTGCGCGAGATGATCAGCATGTACTTGCCGGCCGGGGAGGGCGGCGACCCGGCGGCCGCGGCGGCGGCGGCCGCGGCGCAGAGCCGGCTGCACTCGCTGCCGCAGCACTACCAGGGCGCGGGCGCGGGCGTCAACGGCACGGTGCCCCTGACGCACATCTAGGGACCCGAGGGGGACTGGCTTGGCCGGACCGAGGTTCCCTCCCGGTCTAGCCCCGCGCGGCCTTGCTTTTGTGCTGCAGACGTTTCCACCTTCTCGTAGGAAGGAAAACACCGGCGACGAACACGAGGTGACAACCCCCCACCCCTGTCCCCCACTCGCCTTCTTTCTGGGAGCTTCTGGGAACGGCTAGGCGCGGACACCTAGACTGAACTTGGTGTTTTAGACTGGACTTGGTGTTTTCTGGAGACTTTTTGTACAGTATTTATCACCCACAGAGGCTGAAAAAAAGCGTTTCTTGGCTGGAGGGGGACACAAAGACCAAAACCAAGCAAGAGGCGACTCCAACTTTTCTATCCCCGCCGGCGGCGCGCTCACTCTCTTCCTGGATGCCTCGCTTCCTGCTGGCGTTTGTTTGGTGGTCCGGGAGCTGTTCTGTTTTTTTTGTTTTTGTTTTTATCGATGTTAGTAAGGCAGATCCAAACACGAGGTTTTTTTCCGTAGCTGTTACCACTTTTTGGGTTGGTTTGTTAATTTATACAAAGAGATGATGCCCCCACCCCCTTTTCTGATGGCAGCGTTCTATTCTTGAGTTTTGTAAAACTTTTCTGTATCTGAGCTTTTCCATTTTTTTTTGTTTTGTAATTATTTCCTGTAAATGCATTGTGAAGTTTTAATTTAGGAGTTTCAGCGTGGGGAGGGGTATTCAGATTATGTACATAGTTTCCTAAAAAGCCTTTCTAGTAAAAACGAAAAAAGATAACCCCTCTTTAAACATGCATCGAGTCAATAAATTCAAGAGAGGAAAAAAAAAAAACCGGTTCTTCCCATAAATTTGAAACGTGCTAGTTGTATATGCATGTTTTATGAGCTCAGAATACAATTAGTAAATCTGACGAAGGAGAAATTATCAGCATGGTTTAAGAGTGAAGGGAACCCCAGGGGAGAGGGTACGATTTTTACAGAGCTTCGTTCAGTGGAAGGGAAGGAAGTTAAAACCAATGGATTATTTTGTAGAGTTTACAGTGTTCATACAGAATGGAAAATCATTACAGAAAAAAAAAAGTCGTTTTATACGCTGGCCCTTTGGTGTGTTTTTTATCTTTGGGCCATCACTGCGGGATTTTTTTTTTATTATTATTATTCCTTGCTGTGGGCTTTGCATCCTCTAGCTGGCCCCAGATCCGTGCCCCCAGGAGAGAAGAGCCCAATGGCGGGACTAGGCCAAGGTTGGATGACAAAAGACCACTGCATGGGGCATAGGGGCCCCTATTTCCCTGCAATTAACAAGATTGCAGGTGGAATTTATCTAGATTTGGCTCCAGGAAACACAATCTCTGGACCAAAATGTACTGTAACCAAGCCCCCTCCGTCCCTCCCCCTGGCTTATTTCTCCCTGGGAAAGAGCAGAATAATTTTTGCTGGGTTTTCGCACACAGAGACCCAAAATTGGCCACTCCCCCCACCCCACCCCCACCCCGAGTGAACTGCGATGCAAGTCGCTAACCTATGTGAATGCAAAATGCGCTGTTGATTATTCCTGACCAGATCTAAGGTTGGTTAACGCTTTAAAATTTTTAGTTATATTTTTTCTAGGTGTTTATTGGTACATTGCAGTTTTTTTCTTCTGGAATTTAAAGTTTTCTGTAAACTTTGTCTTCAAATAATCTGACAGCATTAAATATTGAATTTAAATGGTATACTGTAGCAAATACGTTTTGAAATGAGTCACAACATAAAAGTGAAATTATATTTTTTGAAAAAAGAAACCTTTAACCCAGATCAAAATATGTTGATTTCATCAACCCCCTCATTCTCTCAATATCTTTTCTTATCCTGGAATGAGTATAAACTCTCCATCCAAAAATGGGCCTATCGTAGTGGGTTAATGAGAACCCAATTCAACCTGCAGTAGAAACAGCTTTAAGTAAAATGCTCAGCTGACAATTGATGTGTAATTTTTTTGGAGTCATTTTGATACTTTTGCTTAAACCACCCATTTCTTAGAGTGACTGAAAAAAATTTTTAAAAAAAGATGTCGATTGCTTCTTCCTAACAAGATAATAAAGCGCCCCTCCTTTTTCTTTTTTTTTTCTTTTTTTTTTTCTGCCTTAGCAATCTGATCCTTTGTGAAACAGTGGCTGAATATATGAGGGTTGCTAAGCAGAACAGCATCAGAGATCTGGGAATAAGTGCCACACACACACAGAGTCCCCTCTGGGAGAGCTTTGGGAGGTTCTGTAATGCTCTGTTAACTCGCCAGCCCATCCAAGGGCCAGAGCACTCTGATATCCTCGGAGTTAAATAGACTCCCTAGTTCTTTTGCTAGCTCCCAAGCTAGACTTCTAAAGGGGCAGATAGATGTATGACCATGCTCACATTAAGCGCATGCCCAAGTTTATATCTATTCTCAATGACTGACACCTAAGTCTTAGCTCATACCTGTTAGTGATGTGGGTCTCACTTGAAATGCCTGATGCCATAAGGTTGAGCAGTACGCTCGGGACTCCAGGCAGGCCTGTCTGTCGGCTTCCCAGAAGATGGATGGATTTAGAGTTGGGCATTTTTCCGTATGCGCCTCATACATAGTCAGCAGAAACACTCAGTGCCAAGTACTCCAAGTCACTTGTTAAAAACCCCAGAAAGGTCTTAAAATAAGAATTCCTTGAACTGCAGCAAATTTGTCTGGTTGGCTAGAAGGACAAGGAAAAAAGCAAATTCTTGAATGACTCCATTTAAAAACAATATGGGGTGGGAGGGGAGGAGAGATTAGCTAGAATTCCTCTCAGGAAGGGACCCCGTCTGGCCTGCAGTGTTTCTCCTATTTAAATTCACGGATTTAGCCCACTACGGGACCACACTGAATTCAGTGCTTGCCAAGGTGCTCCACATCATATTCATGAAATATTATCTGATGGTAATGATTACATGATGCCTTCAGTCACTTCCTAAATCATGAGATGGTATTTCTATTTTGTTTGAAACCGGTGTGGAGCACGGGGACCGGATTTTTGGGGGGCCTTGACAAAGTTTGCACAACTTCCAGCGGGGACCATTGCGGGAATTCTTCCTGGGCAGGCCTTCCCGCGCAGCCTGGCTCTCTCAGCTGAGGGTAACAGGATTTGCTTGAGGGTTTTCCCGCATGTCTCCGAACCTCCTCTACACCACCTCATCTTAAAAACAAAACAAAAACCCAACCATTTGGCCCCTGTAATTGTTGTTAGGACTTTGGATCACCTCCCGCCAAAGAAACCCACCAGTAGCTAGCAATGAATTAATCTTAAAAACCAGTAGCGGGTACCGCGCGCGCCTGCTCTGCATATGCGTGCCGGGTGGCGTGACTGATGGGTCTATTAACATCATGCATGTGGAAGAAGAATAGCGCGCATATCCACGCATTTCATCTTCCCCGACAAAGACCGGGCAACGCAGGTTTCTGTCTCCGGAAAAATTCTGGTTCATTCGAGAAGCTCATCGCGGGTGGCAGGCCCCTGGCCAGGCGCGCTCTGGGGCGACCGGGCCGCGCTCCCACCCCCGCTCCCGCAGCCCGGCCTGCGGGACAGAGGCTCCCGATACGTCGGCGGCAAAATGTAATAATAGGTTTGATTCCTTGGAAACTTCAAGTGAAAAGCAGACTTGGCCTTGGCGCAGCTCTTTTTCCAGCGTGACAATTTGGCGGGATTGAAAGGCCGGGCCAGAAAGGAAGGGGGGAGGGGGAAGGGGGCGCGGGGTCCCCGAGGCGCCGATCCCAGGGAAGTGGGCCCGGGGTTCTTGCCCCCACCCCCTCCCTCTGCAGGGTCGGGAGTTGCGAGGGCTCGGAGAGTGCCGGCCGGGAGGGAGGCCGGGGCGGGGAAGTGGGCAGGCAGGGACCTTCACCTTCGCCCTCTGCTCGCGGCCCGGGCCAGTGTTTCCCAGCCCGGCGGGGTGCCGCTGAGTTCCTCCCTGCCCCCACTCCTTTCCCCGGCCTCCCTTCCTGCTCCTCCCACTCGCCCTCCCTCCATCCTCGGGGCCCTTCCTCTCCAGCTGCGCGCCCGCCCGGCCCCCGCCGCACCCACCCCCGGGGACCCAACTGATGCGGCGGGCGGCGCCCTGCGCCCAGGATCCGGATCCTGGGTCCCCTTCCGACGGGGGGCAACAACTCCCCCACCCCCACCCTCCGCCTTCCCAAGGTCGCCCTTTTCTTGCTCGGTGCACAATTAAGCCCTGAGCAGGGGGCGATTTCCCGGCCTTCGCTCCTCGTCCTGCACAATTCCTTTCCTCTCCACCTCTCTGGAATCCCCTTCCAGGCGCGTTATCCATCCACGTCTCCTTTCCTTCCTCCTCTTCTCTCCCTTCCTCTCCTCCCTGCCTCCAGCATCTTCCCTTCTTCCCTCTCTCTCCGGCCTTCTCTTTGTCTCTCCTCACCGCCTCCTGCGTCCTCCAAAGCTTGGCCCCCGGTAGTCCCGGCGGCAGTCCCGGGATGCTCCCTGTGGAGCTTGGGTCCGGGTTGGCCGGTGCCTGGGAGCTGCGGGTCCCCAGCCTTCCCTGGGCTGCGTCCCCGCAGGCTCGGAGCGGGAGGAGCTGGGGGCCCAAGGTTCCTTTCTGCAGCCTGCGGCCTGGGCGCCCGCCCCCCAACTCACTTGGGTGCAGCCTGGGCCCAGGCCGGACCGGGCGGGGTGTCGGCCTCCGGGGGGATTAAGAGAACTGATGCGAGGGAAGAGGGCAAAGTGTTTTTGTGTTTGAAGAGGGCAGGATTAGTGGAGAGAAAGTCCTGACCCGAGGTCAGCTGCAAGTCAAACCCTTTTACAATCAGCCAGCGGAACAGGCAGGTCTCCGGGTCCGGCCGCAACAAGTGGGAGAAAGGAGGGGGAAGGGAGGCGGGGGGGGGGGGGGGGCTGGAAGGGAGGAGGGGAGGCGGTGGCCCGGACGTGGGGAGATCCGCACCCCGGGGCTAAGCAAGTGGGGGGGGGGGGTTGGCAGGGAAAGCTACACACCCGCATCCCCGGCCCCAGCCCTCACGGTAGGGGCGCCCGTGGCGGGAATCGGCGCGGCGTGCGTTTGCAGCTTCACGGGGCGGGAGCAGTTTGTCCATCAGAATTCTTTTAGAATGCCCGCGTCTCCCATTTCCTGAGCCGCCTTCCGTCCGCTCCTCCGACGGAGCCTGGGGCGAAGGCTCGCTGGGCTCTGTCTTATAAAAGCAATCTCATCTCCATGAGAAACCAAAACCACAAGCCTGGATCCTCGTTCGCTCTGCCTTTTGCGTTCTCACAGGCTCTCCAGCAATCGTTGCCTTACTTAGGTCTTCGCAAGCCTTGGCGTGTGTGTGACAGTACTGGGAAGAGGGGAAGGAAATAACTGTATTAAATCTGCCTCCCAAACCGAATTCTCCGTCAATGCGGAGGAATGAAGCGTGGCATGGTTCATCAGGAGGGAAATCCTCGGGGCTCACCTGAAAAGTAATAAAAATGAGTTTGAGGTGGAGGATGGGGGGTGGGAGGGGAGAAAGGTGGTGTCAGGGAAGAAGAAAGTAAATACGAGTATCGTCCTTAGCAGGCAGGCTGGGAATTTATGCTGAGATAACTCCACCAAGAGTTTTAACAAATAGGAAACTCAGATGAAGAACCCAAACAAGTGATACTCCCAAAGATAGAGATCATCTATTTTTTTTTATAATAAAAAACATAATTGCCATGTTTTCCTCTAAATTGGCTTTCCATATTTAAATATAAAAAATCAACTAGAGGAAAGAAAGAGAGGCGGGGAGACAGAGA